GAGTTTGACACCCCTGCCTTAAGGGGAGAGGTTTCTTTTAATTCTCCCATTTTCTTTCCTCAGTAAGAAAGTAGTTATTTTTCACGACGACAGAAAATTCCAAGCGACAAAACAGAAACCACGAATAAACCACCCACCGGAAGAGAGAAGGTGGTGTGTTTTGTCACACAGCCCTGCCAAGTTATCTCACATCGACACCCGCTTGTACCTGGAAGGAAACGCTGGGAAATTTGCACGCACCGATCTGCACTCCCGTAGCATTGCCGCAAAGGGGCCGTCAGGCTGCATTCAGTTGTGTCCCCAATGCAGCTTTGGCACACCAGCCCGTTTTGCAATCCATCTCGTTTGACTGTTTGAAATGACAGGCAAGGAGAGAACTCACTCAATTCCCTCGTCCAATTCCATCAGTGGGAGCAATCCAGACACACACACACACACACCCAAAAAAATTACGGACGAAGGTACTAAAACCTACCCAAAAATGAATCTGTAAATATTTAAAATTTTCCTGACCCTTTTCATGATGCAGAAAAAAGTAATAGAAAGTGATAGAAACCCCACAAATTAATTTCACATGGTGTACAGGTAAATCCTCGACTTATGGCCACAATTGAGCTCAACATTTCTGTTGTTAAGCAAGGCATTTGTTACGTTAATTTTGCCCCATTTTATGACCTTTTTTGCCTCAGCCATTAAGCGAATCACTACAGTTGTTAAGTGAGTAACCAGGTTGTTAAGTGGGTCTGGCTTCCCCATTGACTTTGCTGGTCAGGTCACAAAAGAGGATCACATGACCTTCCAGAGACACAGCGACCGTCGTAAATATGAACCGGTTGCCAAGTATCTGAATTTTGATCACATGATCATGAGGATGCTGCAAAGGTCGTAAGTGTGAAAAACGGTCCTGTCGCTTCTTGCAGTTTGCTTTGCAACTTTGAACGGTCACTAAACGAATTGTTGTTAAGTCGAGGACTACCTGTAGTAAAAAAAAAAAAATCTCACGATGGTGGCCATGGTTGTGTGGTCAAATCTTGCTCGTTTTACACTTTTGTGCATACCTTCAAACGGATATCAAATAACACCTATAGCACAGTGGTGGGATTCAAAAAAAAATTATTACCGGTTCTGTGGGTGTGACTTGGTGGGCATGGCAGGGGAGGAACACTGCAAAATCCCCATTCCCCCCCACACCCTACAAACCTGCTTTCCAGCTCCGTTCTCCTGTGCAGGGCAACCAAAGGAGACCCAGCCGATCAGCTGGGACTCAATGGGAGGCAGAGAATAGATGGGGCAGGGCCAGTCAGAGGTGGGATTTGCCGGTTCTCCAAACTACTCAAAATTTCCACTACTGGTTCTCCATAACTGGTAAGAACTGACTGAATACCACCTCTGGTGTGTTACTTGGAACCCTGGCACATATCCTGTTGTAGGTCACGTGGCCCCCAAATCATTGTGCTACCAAGTCACAAACCCACCACCCGCCGAGACTTCCTCAGGATGTCAGGGTTACAGACCCAACGCAATCAAAACTCTGAGGCCTGACGTTTCCTCAAAGTAAGAATTTATGAACCCTGACTCTGAAGGACCTGAGGTTTTCCCCACCCAAATCAAAACCCAAAGTTCTTTCACACAGATCGCACGTCCATCACATGGTCCAATCAGGTCACAGTCCCCAATTTGGCTGGCTTTAGTCCACGCCTTCCAACCACCTGGTTCCCATGGGAAAGAATTATTTGGCTACACATTTCCCCCACCCCCCAGCTATCTCTATCTCCCCCCTCACGTTCCCAAAGTGCCAACTGGCCTCACTGTGTCAGCCCTGAAGATGTTCCTAAAATGGCTTCAGGGCTGACTCAGGAAGTGTTGCATTCTGGGTTTCAGACACGCTTCTGTGGCTCTCCTTGTTTTTACGTACCAGACAAATGGATGGGTTGGCAAAGATTTGAAGAACAACACCACATTGTTCTGAACAAGGAACCCACCATGCCCATGGGGTACCTTCGGCAATTATTTGAGGATCCACAGCCTTGCTTTGCGGTATCTGCGCTCACTACGAGGAAAATAATAAAATGAACGAGGTTACTTACCGTCAGGTGGAAATATTGCCTGAAGAGTCTATTTGGTGTTGCGCAATTATCTTGCACACTTGGTTGCAATCTATGACGTGATTTACTGGGTCGTATAGGTGGGCCTCGACTTATGACCCCAGAATTGACCCCAAAGTTTCCACTGTTAAGCAAGACAGTTGTAAAGGGACGTTTGCCCCATTTTATGACCTTTCTTGCCACAGTTGTTAAGTGAATCACTGCAGCTGTTAAGTTAATCAGAGGGCTGGTAAGTGAATTTGCTTCTTAGAAGGTCGCAAAAGGGGAATCAGATGATCCCAGGACACATCAACCATCATAAATACATGCCAGTTGCCAAAGATCTAAATTTTGATGATGTGACCATGGGGAGACTTCACTGGTCATATGTGAGAGAAACAGTCCTAAGCAGGGGTGGGCTGCTACTGGTTCGCCCTGGTTTGGATGAACCGGCAGCTAATTTATCATTTTTAATTACCGGTTCAGCGAACTGGTAAATCCCACCCCCGGCTGGGCCCACCCATCCTGCCCTTCCCTTCCCCAGGATTCTCCATGCAGCCCATTTTGAATGCCAGGTAAGTACACGGCCAGCATGGAGGGGAGGGTGAAAAACGGGCCTCCAGGAAGTTCTGGAAGGCTGGAAACAGGCCTCCGGAGCCCAGGGAGGCCATTTTCGCCCTACCAGAGGTTCAAGGAAAGCCTCCGGAGCCCAGAAAGGGCAAAAACGCCTCCTCCTGGCCTCCCTGCACCCAGCAACCGGGCAGAGAACCGGTTGATGAAATTTTTGAAGCCCACCCCTGGTCATAATCACTTTTTTCAGCACTCATTGTAACTTTGGACAGTCACTAAACGAATGTTGTAAATCAAGGACTCTTTGTAACAGTATATGGGGATGTCTTCAAGAGACAGAAGGAAGAGCCACAGACTAGATAAGGGTCAGCTCAAAAGTGCAGCCAAATATCCATAAACGTATTTTTGAGCTCTGTATAATCTTCAACGAAGAGCTGGTTTTGGTGTTGTGCTTAAGGTACCCGGTGAGAAACCAGATGATGAGTTACTTACTAAGGTGTGGCCTTAGTAAGATCACACCTGGAAGACTGCACCCAGTTTTGGCCACCTTGTTACATGTTGAGACTTTGGGGGGGGGAGTGCAGAGAAGAGCAACTAAGATGATTAAGAGCCTGAAAAACGGTTGCAAGAATTGGGTATGGCCAGTCTAGATAAAAGAAGGACTAGGGGTGACATGATAGCAGTATTCCAATATTTGAGGGGCTGCCACAAGGAAGAAGGGGTCAACTTATTTTCCAAAGCACCAGAGGGCAGGACAAGAAACCATGGATGGAAACCAATCAAGAAGAGAAGCAACCTTTGGAATTAAGGAGAAACTTCCTAACAGAACAATTACCCAGTGGAACAACTTGCCTTCAGAAGTTGTGGGTGCTTCATCACTGGAGGTTTTTAAGAAAAAAACTGGACAGCCACCTATCTGAAAAAGTATAGGGTCTCCAGCTAGAATAGTATTTGCTCAGAATTGGAAAAGTGAAAAAAATCCAACAGAGGAAAAAGGTGATTGAGAAAATATTAGAATGTGCAGAGATTAATAGGTAATTCATTGGCAATTAAAGAAAAAGAAGAAACTGAATACTATATGGTATGGGGTCTGTTTTATCAATGGTTGGAAGATAAAGTAATAAGCTAAAAGTGAGAAGATGAAGAAGTTTAAGATTGTTATAAAGATAAAATATGTAAGTGATCATGGCATATAAAGAAAAAGGGATTACTGTTATTTTGGTAAGGAAAGTATGTTAATTATAATTAAAGATATATGTACCCAGTCGCCACACTGTTTAAATGAAAGATGGATTTGTTGTAAATATTTTTAAAAAAAGCTTTTTTAAAAAAAGAAATGGTACATACAGTGTCCTGTTTGAGCAGGAGGTTGGACTTCCTCCAAGATCCCTTCCAGCTGTTTTGATGGATTGAGTTCTACTCTGTCATGAAGCCAGCTGGATGACCCTAAACTAGTCTTTTTCTCTCAGCCCTAGGAGGAAGATCTGAAATCTCCTCAGGCAGACCCCAGGAGTCACAAAACCGACTTTAGAGTCCCCCACACACAGACACAACCCTTTGAAGAAGAACAAGACTTACATCCATGGTACTTCTTGATCACTGTGAAACAGGCATCTTGGTTGGTTCTGCAAACTTCCACTGGAGCCTGGGAGCAGTTCCCTTCGTTAATTAAGCACTTATGGCACTCCAAGCTATTAGCTGAAGAAAAAGAATCGACATTCCACCAAACAAGGGAATTTCACTATCTTTCCAAAGGACTGGACTTGCAAGAATTCCTGGCTCAGTTCTTCATGATCTGCCCCGGGTAATACCGAGTCTTTCCAAACTCAGAATTTTAGGAATGACAGTTCCCCATACTTTCCTACCACACCAATTTGGAAGACTGCAACAGCCATCTTAAAGCAGTGATAAAATTCAGAGGACGTGTTTCAAAACTGTGCATCTAGCCTCTCAGTCGTTGGTTAAGAGGTGGGCGGCAAATCAATTTTATAAATAGATAAATACAAATAAATAAGCTGTCGTGCAGGCTTTCTCATGAGATCTGTTGTATCCAGAAATATCTACGAAACATTTTAGGACAGTGTTTCTCAAATCGTGTGGACTTTGACTCCCAGAATTCCCCAGCCAGCACAAAGAATTCTGGGAGTTAAAGTCCATACTTCTTAAATTTGCCAAGATTGAGAAACACTGTTTTAGGACATTATTTTCTCATCCTCTGAGGAAAAAGTGGTTTGGTTCACACAATAATTTCCTTGGGGAAGTGAGCTAAGCCAACTGATAGAAATACCTCCTAGGCTTGTGGTTTACTGAAATGACAAGAAGCATAGCTATTGCTGGAAGACCATTCATTATCTGGCCATTAATTAATTCATTTTCCCCAAGCTGATTTGTGTTTCTTTTTTAATACTCTTCAATGGTTCCCTGATTGCATTAATAGATCTAATGTCTTAGATCTGCTCTATGCTTTGTCCTCTGAATGAAATTTTCGTTTTAAAATATTTTCAATTTGTTAATTGCCTAGTTTTCCCCCCCTTGTTCTCAATTCTACCCTATTGTAACATGATTTTTTGCTTTTCAGCACAAATAAAGTTCAGCTAACCATTGAAATAATCATTTTTTCCAGTTTGTGCATTACAATAATCCATAAACCAGCAGAGTGTTTACTTGACTAATATGAATTATGTTTCCTGTGTTCTTATATTGAACTTGATACAGAAAATGCTGCTTTGTATATATGGGGCATCTCACTGAATGTTTAAGGCAGGGGTCTTCAAACTTTACAACTTTAAGACAGGTGGACTTCAACTCCCAGAATTCCTCCTCCCGTCATGTTAGGTCAAGAATTCTGGGATTTGAAGTCCACAAGTCTTAAACTTGCCAAGTTTGAAGACCCTTGATTTAAGGTCTGGTTGGTTGCAGAAACCTTCCTAATGGAATATCTATGGAGATTCTCAGTCATGGTTGTTCCAACGATGCTTTTTTTCAACTGGATTTTGCTTTTCCTTGAAGACATTTTGCTTCTCATCTAAGAAGCTTCTTCGGTTTTGTCGGAAGTCAGAACTGAAAAAGTTTCTTTAATTGTAAGTGATGACTATGAAGTGGATCCACAAAACAATTTGTAAACCAACCGACACACTTTATGTACAGATGTGGAAGATGGCTTGATGTTTTTATGTTGTGCTTGTCTATGTTTCTCTAAAAATAGTAATAAAACTTTTTCAAAAAAAATAGAACTGAAAAAGCTTCTTGGATGAGAAGCAAAACATCTTCAAGGAAAACCAAAGTCCAAGTTGCTTTTTGAAAAAATCACCTTTGGGACTTCCTGATGGAAGGAGGCACCTGGAAATTTCTTCCATACCATGACGCCCCCAGAATGCAATCTCAACATGAAGACTTCATCTTCACCTTTATTTTATAAACCATTCAGATAACTAGTTAAAAATAAACTCAAGAAGAGAGAGAGAGAGCAATAATTTGCACTTACCCATCCCAAGACAAAAAATGAAGATTGTAATAGACCCTTTATCCATCACAGTCACACTGTCAAAGAAGAGGGAAACGTAGCAAATTATAATGTGCTTCAGAGACAAGGAATTGGTCCATAATCGATTTCCAGAATGAGTATCTACTGGATGGGGCCATATTCTGCCCCAGGATCTTGACAGTAAGAGCTATATCAAGAGTTTCCAAACTTTAAGACTTGGGGACTTCAACACCCAGAGTTCCCCAGCCAGCTGGCTGTGGAATTCTGGGAGTTGAAGTCCGCAAGTCTTAAAGTTGCTAGGTTTGGAGACTCCTGATCTATAGCAAATTAATTGTCCATGAAGAGTGAGGAGGAAGACGTTAAGAGTTTCAAAACTGACCTCATTAATTTTCTGCTGGAGACAAACCACCCTTAGCCTCCTTCATCTCCATCTATCCACCATTCCTTATTAAAAAAAACCAGGATCAAGTACATCCAAACAACCTCTAAGAAAAGACATTCAAAGGCTTAAAACCAGAAAGCATTTCAGGTTGCTTGAAAGAAGAAACTACAGAAAGTGATTTGGAAATCCACCTGTTTGGATTATCTTACCGGCAGCTGATGATCTTGATGAGGCAGAAAGATCTCCTGGAATGCATCCCTACTGAAATACGGCCAAGCCAAGGAGGACGGTTGGATTGTCCCTCCTTCGAAGGGATAGGCAGAGGGGTGGGGTTTCCAGCTTCCCCAGTGTTCAGTGAATAATCCAAATTCAATGCCACAATAATTTGTTCCTATTTTTTAAAATACCCTTTCAAAAGAGCCCTCTCGATTTAGGTGAAACTCCACTCATAGTTCAATCCCGCCTCTTCCATTTTCTGCCTTCCCTTGACCAAGGAGTATACATTTTACTAGCCCGATACCTGTGCTTCACTACGAAACTATGTGGTCATGCTTAGTTTTTGGGGAGGAGAATAAATTCTGCCTCTGTCTACCAGCATCCATCGGTATTCATCTAACTAGCATCCTGTCAGTGTGTGAGAGAGTTGAGGGCTGTTTGGAAACTGAAACGGTATTTGCTGTGTGAGCAAGGAGACAGCAAGGAGCCCAGGCGTGGCTTAGCTCAACTGTTCTGTACTAAAGCAGGTTGCTGCTGTGAAAGTAAAACTGAAGCTGAAACTCCTCTCCTCTGCTTGTGCTGTGCATTTGGAACAGATATTTTTTCGGGTGGGGAAGGGGAGTAGACCTCCTTAGCATCAGAATGTGTGAATAATAATATACAGAATACTGGTGCTCTGATGGTCATTTCAAAAAATCCTTTCTCAGTAAGCACCTAGATACCGAGAGGAACATACTGCCAAATTTCAAGTTTGTAGGTTTTATTTATTTATATTATTTATATTTATATTTATATTATTTATATTTATATTTATATTTATAAATATATATATATATTTGTTTTCTTTTCGCGGGTACTTACATGTATGGCATTCAGCTTTGTTCGGGTATTTTCCCACGTCATAGTAGTTGTGCTTTTAAAGTTGTAGCGACATTTCGGCAGAATCTCATCTGCCATCATCAGGCTTCTGGATTGTGTTCGTCTGTGAGTCAGGACCCCACAGTTGTTTCAGTTTTAAATTTGGGGCAGCCTATTGCTGTGCCAGAATGGGGTTTTTTTTGTATGTATGTATGTATATATATATATATATATATATTATAGCATTAGCACTTGGGACTTATATATAACCTCCCCTCAAGTGCTTTACAGCACTCTCTTACAATTTCAGCCTATGGCCCCCAACAACCAATCAGCGTAGCATCCTAGCCAACGAAAGCCCTTCAAAACATCCTAAGCAAACCAAAAGACCCAACAACCCCAGAAGAAGAAGAAAAAAAAATCAGGAGTCATCTACAACATACAATTTCAGGACTGCAACAACCACAACATAGGACAAGCAGGCAGAAGACCAGCAAAACGCATCCATGAACACCAACTGGCCATCAGAGGACATGGTGAAAAATCTTTAATTCCATAACATAGAGACAGAGTTAACCCTCGTTTCAATTGGAAAAATGTGGCAATCCTAAACTAGGCCAAGTCCAGAAATGCTAGGGGATTTGTAGAAACCTGGCACTCTTGACAAATCAGCCATCAATAGACACATAAATATAAATAACGTTTACATACAGTGCAAAAGAGACTATCAATGAGCCCAAAAGAGAACAAAAAGACTCCAGCATCTCTCCACCAGCAATCAGTGTAAATTAACTCCAAGGTTAAGATCAGATCAACAATCTAATAAATAATATCCCAATTAAGAAAGTGCTAGCAAGCCAACAGTAAACAGCCTCACCCAAAGAACCTCTTAAGACCAAGCCCACCAACACAGACAGGTAAGCCACCAGAATATAAACTGACAGCAAACCCCACTCCTTAACTAGCACTGATAATGTTACCTAGCTAGGGTAATGAAACATCTGCAAGAAAGCAAGCAAGCTCAGAGCGCACCAATGACTCGCCTCACCCCTACAGTCGGTATCCTCATTTTACCAACCTCAGGAGGATGGAAAGCTGAGTCAACCTTCATGTTCAGTTAGACCACAGGACACCGTATTTTCAGACACCCAGGCAGTTAAATTGCAACACCCTCAACCGTTTGGCCAACAAGCAAGCAATAAATCTTGTAAAAGCCCATCAATCTTGGCCTCTTCAACTTCTCTACTGAGGTTCAAATCTTCTCCAGAATAACTCCTAGAAGTCTTTAATTTCAATTTGACAGCACGTTCTCTCGCAACCTAACTTTTAACTAGTTGTTTGAAATTTTAACGCAAGGAGGTTGAGGTTCAGACAACGTATCTCAACTGGGTTAAAACGGTGGATGGTGAGTCATTTGTGATTCAGCTTGGCCCAAGAAGCTACGTGCTGTCTTAAGCACCAGTCTGGTGTCATTTAGTGAAGCAGAGTGACTTAGAATCTAGTGAGTAAGAAACATACAGTTCAAATAGTTGTAAATAAATAAACCAGGTATTACATTTAAACCGTCCTATGGTTTTGCTTGACCACAGCATATTAGGT